TCCCAAGCCAGGTGTTGTCTCCACCATATCGATCATCATTGAGGACTTTTACAGCAAACCTCTTCCATCCATAAGGTCGATGATACACTTTACCCCCCCTTTTGTACTCTTTACCGTCATCCTTTACATTGGTAAAGTCGTAGTTGTAAGGGGGGTCAAACTCAGAACAATCAAGCTCATAGGGCCCTCCACCTCCCACACAACACAGTGAGGGCTTTCCTACTGATTCGAGTTGAGTCGCGGGCATGTACATATCAATCGTATGCGCATCTGACATTTTTTGTCCAAAATGAGTTAGCTGGAGTCCTTGGAAAGGAATTGACAGCTTTCTTTGGATGCCTGCTTTGATGGATTCCACCGTTTCCCCTTGCCGTGCTCGAATGGTTGTTGTTCCTCCATTGATCATTTTTACGGTCACGTTGACATCATCAGAAGAGCCACTCTCTAGCATGAGCCAGGATCGAGGTTGGGCCAATGAAGGTACAAATGGTTGATAAGTAGTGTGGAAGAGTTCATGGACACCTATTTTAGGCAAAACAGATCGAGCGCTTTCTGGCCTTATCCAACTAAATGCTGATTCCCATATCGATGAGGCGGCACTCTGTTGAACAAGGCTTCTCGGTGGGACAACTTGAAAGCCAAGAATAGCCGTATAACCAGCGCACAGAAGTCCTAAATCGTTTTCACTCAAAGCCATGTTTCAAATCGAAATGCAACTTATTCGATGTTCCGACACTTCTGAGAAGACGGGTTTTCCCCAGGGCCCGGTTGGATAATTTCGTCACGTGGTACCTTTTCCTCTTCCATATGAATTTCTTGGAAGTATGAACGGATTACGTCATTGTTATAATTTGATATCACCTGTTATGACACCGATTTTATATATTGTTATCGGATCAAAAGGAAACAAAACTTAACTGTAAGAGAAATTTTGTTTGCAGTCAGTCGTTTGAGATCTGTAAAGACCGGCATTAAAAGACTAATTATAAAACTATGATCAATGTGTTGTCGTTCCCACAACTATCCTCCAAAGTCCTACTCTAAGCCCACATTTAATTCTAAGAATCATCTTGTTTGTCCAACACGGACCTTCTTGACACTCAGGAACCCGACACGTGCTCTCAGGCGACATTTACTGGTGTTCTGTTTAAACACAAGAAATACTCGAGCACCCAAGTCCAAGATAAATACTAATAAGGTAACATGAAATCTAGCGAGGACGCAGTGGATTGATGTTCCTGCAATTTAGTGCTGGCTAAATGCACCTAAAGCCTTTATGCGCCTCATGCATGCCGCGCAGTAAAATGATGATGACGACAAATGCACGTGAACGACCCGCCCTAGCGAAGTCCCGAGCCTGTGTGAGATTATGAATGTAGTCAATAATAAGACAGCGCACGCGAAGGGTCGAAACTCATGAAGATGAGTGTAGAATACAGTGGTGTATTCCTGAAACTTTCAGTCGGCCCGTGGCTGTAAAGTGTACTGGCTAGTGAATATCAAATAAATGCAAGCGAACAACCTTCCTGCAGTTCCTGCGCACTTGATTTTTAGTAGAGACAGTAGAAGAACTACTCCCGCTAACTATGTAGTTTATTTTAGAGTTGCAGAACATCAAGTGTTCAATATCACCGCTAACTACCCAATCATTATATGCGGCTTTGCAAAGTTTTTCCGCCATGAAATTTTACAGCGGATCATATGAACTTGTTACATATCTAACTTGAACAACTGGCATAACGCCTTCACTATTTTTTAGTTTCCTATTTTCTGTGCCTATCTAACATTGTAAAACTTCATTAATAATCTAACTTTTGTTCAATTTTCTACTTTAAGAGACTTTCTTAAACAAAAGACCATAGGGTCTCAAATCGTCTATTTTCTTCTTTGCGTCATGATGTGGTGAAAGCCAATACTCAGCCCCAACACCTGTCTGCTCCGCAGGTATGATAACAAAGTGGCCTGGCGAAGGATTGATGCGATTTTGAAGTGCGATCTTGAAAGTGCTACCTTCATGCTCAAACCTTTGTGCATAGAGCCGTTCAACCATGTCAAGGGAAGGACTGGAATAGACCGCTTTACCAAATCGATCACCTGCACCGATCTTGAATCCAGAATCCATGATTGCTCGGGCTGACTGTAGGTTTGTCCCATGGTAGCATACAGGCCATTCACCTTGGGCTTCCTGTGTGCGTATTCCGTTTGGGCCAAGCCAAATGTCATTTTCATATCGTCCTAGAGCCTGCACGGCAAATCTCCGCCAACCATATGGCCTTTTGTAAACTTTACCTCCTCGAACAAAAACTTGCCCATCATCCTCTTCGCTAGTGAAATCAAAGTTGTAAGAGGGGTCAAATTGATCAAGATCCAATTGAAAGTCTGGGCCGCCACCTCTCAGTCGCACCAACAGATACAATACCCCCCCACTTGGAATACCAAGATCCAAAACACTCTGATCATCTTCCACAGGTTTCCCATCAAACATCAATCTGATATCTTTTGCGGGAATGTTTTGTTTGATTTCGATATTCGCCTTGATATCTGCGATGGTATGACTGTATGTTACTTCAACTGTAAAGGAAGAACCAGTTATAGATTTCACATTGATTTCAAACACCTTTCCAGGATCAACGTGTTTCAGTGACCTTGGTGTATAAGTACAATTAAACAACTCTTGGACCGTGAGTTTGGGTAAACCATGACCACGGCTTGGTGGAACAACTTGAAAGCCTACAATCGCCGTGAATCCAGCAGAAATAAGCTCCAAATCGGCCTCGGACATCGACATCTTGAACACGCGAAGATCTTCTCAAATTTCTGCCAAACAGCACTTTTGTTTTCTCCGCATATTTACCAAATAAGGAAGGGCACTTCCRGGAACTGATATTCAATAACAGCACAGGTAGCCCAAGTTTTTATCAAATCAATTTTGTAAAGTTTTTTTTTCTTTGTTTTTGTTTTTGTTTTTAATGAATGTTAAAACTGGATAATGATAGGTATTGCGTCAAAAAAATTATTAYAATTTGATTTCTTAAGATTTGAGGAGCTTCACGTTCTGCTAGTAGTCTCTTAGGCTCTTATGACGTTGAGCCTTGCCTCATTTAGTGAAATATTATGCTTTACGAAGTTTGAAGTGTGGATTTGAAAGAGAATAGAAAACATGATAATAATGAAACTTTTGCGAGAAGGAAATAATTGGGCTTCCTGTGGTAAAAGACAGCTACCTCATCACGCCTGATCAACACACTGATCCCGCTGACCATACTTTGACACGTCAGTACTTTTATTTCACAAAATTGGATAGTTATTTTCGCTTTTTTATTTAAAATAATACATTTTGAAGACATTCTCATCATGTCTACTCTTGCCGAACAACCGTGTTATACATTGATTAATATCTTGGGTGATTCGGAACCGCCATCGGAACAGAAACTGAAGGAAGACATCGGTGAGTATGGTACAAGCCGGCCATGTTTTTTTTTGCATTGATTTAAGCTAATACTATGTGATCTTGCAGTATAAAAGGAACGCTTTTATTGTTTCCCAGCGCTCTCTCTCTATATATATATTTATCTTAAAGACTTTAAAATTGATTTTATTTAGATTAGGAAAAATGTTTTTTGGGGGGGTTGGGGATTTAGAGGGGTGGGGGAAGGGGGACCATAATAATGGTAAAACTACTAATAATATAAGTTATTAAATTACATGTTGTTTTATAATGCTTGATTTTTGTATTGCTATATATAGCTGTGTATTATTGACAACAAAATCATTTTTGACTTGCAGAGAAAGGTGATATCAAAGTCAAAATAGAAACGCTAAAGAAAGTCATCCAAATTATCCTGAATGGAGAAAAGATGCCATCCTTGTTGATGACAGTCATCAAGTTCCTCATGCCTCTACAGGACCACACCATTAAGAAACTCTTGCTCATTTTCTGGGAGATTATCCCAAAGACAGGATCAGACGGCAAACTGCTTCATGAGATGATTCTAGTTTGTGATGCGTACAGGAAGGTAAAATGGTTAATGGTTATTCAATTTATTACATGACCATTTACAGCATAGGTTTTAGCACCTTACTTTAGAGCATGGACCACATTTATTCATGCAAGTTTGTTTGCTGTTTAATATTATAATTTATTAGATAATCAACTCTTTTTTTAGGATCTTCAACATCCAAATGAATTTATTAGAGGATCAACCTTGAGATTCTTGTGTAAATTAAAGGTAAATGTTTATTCCTGGAATTAACTTTATTATTCATGCATGTAGTATTTTATCAAATCAAAAGTTAGAATCACAAATGCAAATCGACTCTCATACACTCATATCCACATACTAGTATTGTATACGTCAGAGACAATAAATGTATTATAATATTACATACAGTACTATTGTGTCACAGAATTGTGTTTGTAAGATTCTGTAATTTCTCTTGCAGCAACCTGAGCTGATTGAACCACTGATGCCTGCTATTAGAGCCTGTCTTGAGCATAGACATTCGTATGTTCGCCGTAATGCTGTTATGGCCATCTACACCATATTCAAGTATGGCTAACATTATATAGCGAACATTCAGACCCCAAAAATGTCAACTTTGAAAACAATTTATGCATATTACTAATTCAATTGTTTGTTATAATGCAGGAACTTTGAGTTTCTTATCCCGGATGCTCCAGAACTTGTTCACACCTTTTTGGAGCAAGAGCAAGATGCATCATGCAAGAGAAATGCTTTTATGATGTTGATTCATGTTGACCAGGTATGTTATTCATATTCAGTTGAATTACAAGTGTGTATGTTGTTCATGTAATCAAATAATTTGAATATTCAAACAAACAATGGATTGCAAAACTTGGACTTAATAAGGCACAGTGGTAGATACAGTTATAGTGGTAGTTACAAAATATACAATGTAAAAAAAAAAGTAAAAGGTAAAAGGAAACCAACTACTGTAATGTAATGTACTATGTTTTTGCAGGAAAGAGCTTTGGATTACCTTAGTACGTGCATTGACCAAGTCAATACGTTTGGTGACATTTTACAACTTGTTATAGTTGAGCTCATCTACAAAGTATGTGAATAGTGAGATATGATGAATTTTTCAGTAGTAGTACATTGTAAATGATGATTATAATTTCTTACTTCACCAGGTCTGCCATGCCAACCCTTCAGAGCGTTCAAGATTCATTCGTTGTATTTATAACTTGTTAAACTCCTCATCACCAGCAGTTCGTTATGAAGCAGCAGGAACACTTGTCACATTGTCGTCTGCTCCTACTGCTGTCAAGGTAGGCATTATTCACTGATTATCTTCTTTAACCACCTGGATTCAAGAATTATCATAGGACAAGAAATTACTTAAGCAAAATTAACTAGTTATGAATTTGTTTCAAGAGAAATAAAAGGTCACTTTACTGTTTCAGTCTGCAGCATCTTGCTACATTGAGTTGATAGTCAAGGAAAGTGATAACAATGTGAAACTAATTGTCTTGGATCGTCTWATTAAACTGAAAGAAAACCCTGCTCATGAGAAAGTTATGCAGGTAATAATCCATTGATTGATCAATGATTAGTAAATAATTATTATTGCAATCATTTGAAATGAAGGAGACTTAAAAGTCAGTTGCAGTATTGTATAGTATGTTGAGAAGAAGTTGTGTGAAGAAGTTGCCWAAAAGTTGCCTTCAATTTATGATAACACAGATATAAAAAGAGAGTTTAATCATGCTATATTTCAGGAACTTGTGATGGATATCCTGCGYGTCCTTGCATCTCCTGATCCTGAAGTTCGAAAGAAGACACTGCAGCTTGTCCTTGACTTGGTGACTTCWAGAAACATCCATGAGGTGAGGGAACTGTTGCTTCGATGTTTGTTTCTTCATTTTCATGGAATAAGTGAATTGTTTTTGATATAATCTCTCTTATATTTAGGTTGTTGCAGTCTTGAAGAAGGAAGTGACAAAGACTCACTTTGAAAGTGAACATGCTGATATTGGCAGCTACAGACAGGTTGGAATATTATRTTATATACTTCTTGTTTTATGATGTGTTTATCATCTGGTTATTGATTGTTCTTCTATATTTTATTGTTAGATGCTTGTAAGAACATTGCACACTTGCAGTGTCAAGTTCCCTGATGTGGCCAACTCTATTGTYCCTTTGGTAAGTTTTTATCTTTTATCAACAGTGTAGTTTACATTAGGAATCACACTAACAAGTCTCAAAATTGTGGGTCCCAGCCTCCACTTTTAAAAAATGGCAAAGAAAGCCCAGAAAATGATTGCAATGTGTGTGTTTTTCAGTTGATGGAGTTCTTGGGYGATTCTAATGAACAAGCAGCTTTTGATGTGCTGGTGTTTGTTAGAGAGGCAATACAGAGATTTGAACAACTCAAGCCAGTCATCATGGAGAAACTTCTAGAGAATGTGCATATGATAAAGAGTGTCAAGTAAGAAAGTAACATTTATATTTTATTTGTGTTTGATATATTTCACATTTGACTTGTACTAATGATTTATATGACAAGCAAATCATTTGTACTGTACCACCAAATCTGTAAATGAGTGAAGGATTTGTCCAGATTTTCACATTATTTGTATAAATGATAATAGGATTCATCGTCATGCGTTATGGATTCTTGGTGAATATGCTACCAGTAAGAGTGACATYATGTCAGTCATTGATGAGATCAAGAAAGGACTTGGTGAAGTGCCAATAGTTGAAGATGAGATGAGACTTGCTGCAGGAGACCCATCTGAAGGTATTGAATAAAAATCATACAAAAAACAATGTTGATAAAAGATATAATTTGAACTGAGTTACTGATCATCCAATCTCTTCTATTGCTGCATGGAAAACCTAGCCAGTGTGATTCAATATTTACAAAATTCAATATTTATAAATTGTGTCATTATTACAGCAGGAGAGGAGGCCCCTTCAGCAAGTGGGAAAAGACTTGTAACTGCTGACGGTACATATGCCACTCAAAGTGCCTTTAGCCAACCAGGAGCCTCAGCCGGACTGGCCAAGACAACTGAAGAAAAAAGGTGACTGAATCATCATTGGATTCAGAATCTTGTTTTTTGTGTTTGTGTGATCTCTTTATCATAACTAATAAATGATTATATAATAGTAGTTTTATTGGTGTTTTTTCTGTAGACCACCTCTTCGTCAGTACTTGTTGGATGGAGAGTTCTTTGTTGGTGCTGCCATAGCTGGCATTTTGTCCAAGATTGCACTTCGMTTCCTTGAGCTTGAAAATGATGACAAAAAGAAAAATGTAATGTATTATTATACTGTAAGTGCTTTGAATAGCTAAACATTTTTAATATTTGTTATTGTTATTTAGACCTTCTGTGCAAAYTGTATGCTGATCATGTCAAGTATACTACATCTTGGAAAGTCAGGACTGCCAAAGAAGGTACAGGGTCTTACTTGAATTTGTAGRTGGTTCTTGRTTCTTATTCATGATAATTGTATTGACCAATAGGCAATAACTGATGATGATGTTGAYCGTATTTCCATGTGTGTCCGTGCTGTGGCTGAGCGCACTCCACTCATGCAACAGATTTTCACATCTGAGTGTCGACAGTCCTTATCAGCCATGCTTGATGCTAACAAAAAGATGGAGGATGAACAGAAAGACAAGGTATTTAGTTTTTTCTTAGTTTTCTTTTTAGCTGTCTCTTGATTGACTTAATTATTTTCTTGTAGGCTCATGCGGAAAAGGTTATCTCAGTCCAGGCTGATGATCCCATTTCATTCCTTACTCTATTGGCAAAGTCAGAGAGTGGAACGACTGAGGTATTTCTATCTTCTTTTCATTTGAGTATTTATTCATTTGTTTGTTCTTTCATTTGTTCATTCATTACAAGTTCCCTTCCCACTTAATTTATTTACCCCCTCTCTACTATTCTTCATTCTAAACTCTCCTTTTTTGTTGTTATTCCTGTCTTTACTTCTCCCTCTCTTCCATTTGTCATTCCGTTTTTCTTTTCTTCATACCTTCTATCCTACTTTTTTTACTGCACCAACAATCCATCCTTCCCTCTTCCTTAACCCTCCCTTCCTTGATATGTCCTGTTTCTTAATACAAATTATACTAGTATGATGTTTTGAAATGTTAACTAATTGTGTATCTGCAGGATCAATTTGCTGCAAGCTTGTCTCAAGCTGTTGGAAGTGCAAGCCTGAAGACTGAGGAGGAACTCCAAAGCAGTAAACTCAACAAGGTATTGTTTCCATTTAAGTTACCTTAGATAGCTAAAAAACAATACATTTACAAAGTATTTATGATAGATATAAACTCCGTCTTTCCCACACAGGTAGCCCAGTTGACTGGTTTCTCTGATCCAGTATATGCAGAGGCATATGTCAATGTCAATCAGTACGACATTGTTTTGGATGTATTGATTGTCAATCAAACTACTGACACTCTTCAGAATGTCACTCTTGAACTGGCAACACTTGGTATGTACATCATACAGCTCTTCAAAYATTTTATTGTGAAGAATATTATAGCAAACCCAAAACCTGCATTGTAGCTAGTAGTCCTTGAAAATTAGTACAAATTGGATTTTGCTGATTCCTTTCCCATTGTGTGATAAACTATATTTTGTAATAATTGTAGTATTTTTTTAATGGATTACAACATGATCTATTTGCTACTGCAGGTGACCTCAAACTTGTAGAAAAGCCACAACCTATACTGCTAGGACCAAATGACTTCTCTAATATCAAGGTATATTGAGTATTGGCAATTATTGATTTTCACAAACATATCCTGAATTTATCCTGAATCTATTTTCTGAGCAAATTTTGCTTGAAATTAATCAAAAACTAAAATCCAATATTTTTGTAGGCAAATGTGAAAGTGTCTTCAACTGAGAATGGTATCATCTTTGGAAATATTGGTAAGAATTCAATAATAACCTATATTACCATGATAAGCAGTATACTTACTGGAAGTACATTGTYTAATAGTGTATGACGTGTCTGGTGGCGGCGGTGATCGTAACTGTGTTGTTCTGAATGACGTCCATATTGACATCATGGACTACATTCTGCCAGCAAATTGTACTGACTCTGAGTTCAGACAAATGTGGGCAGAGTTTGAATGGGAAAACAAGGTAACACTGTTTGTTGTTTGATTTTTCTTTCTTTGTATTATAATAATTCCTAATCAAATGTAATGTTTGTCAACAGGTGACAGTGAACACCAACATCACAGATCTCAAGGATTACCTAAGTCATCTCATCAAATGTACCAACATGCAGTGCCTCACACCTGACAAGGTACAATTGTACAAAAACTGCAAATATTATTACAGACAGTGTGCAGCTTACATAAAATCCATCTTATACTAGAGATTTTTGCTGTGTAATGGTGGCATAACATTCACAATTGTTGTCCTTTTCTAACAGCTTGTGCAAACRGCAATTGTAACATGTTATTTCAATCCACTAAATTTGCAGGCTTTAGAAGGCTCATGTGGGTTCATGGCTGCAAACTTGTATGCACGAAGCATCTTTGGTGAGGATGCCCTGGCTAATGTCAGCATAGAGAAACTACAAGATCAGACAGGAGTGACAGGACATGTACGCATTAGGGCAAAGAGTCAGGTAAGTCCTAATTCAACCTATCATTTGATAATATGAACATYGCACATCAACACAGTTGTGTTAGTCATGTACAAAAGAGTGTAGCATGTCACACAACAAATTGAATTCATCATACTGCAACACAATATAATTAATGAATTGAGCCTGAGGGGAAAAAACGTTTTTGTGCCATGAGAACTAATACAGTGTTGTTGTTTCAGGGAATGGCAYTGAGTCTTGGTGACAAAATTAACCTTTCACAAAAAACCAGCAAGTAAAATAATGTAGAAGGCTGATTGGATATAGATACATTGTGTACAGTGTACACTTGATTGTAATAGGGAATTAATAGCTATATAGAATAAAAGAAATCACAAAGTATGCAACTTTATGTGYATATTTATTACTTTTTTAAGAAGTTTTAAAAGGTATTTGTTATCATTTTCTACAGCGTTTCACTAATTTGAAGACTCATTGTGTTATTTGTCATTTGTGTTTGGTTTTTCTTGCTCAATCTGTGAATAACTACCCTTTTTCCCGCACCCTTGTCATCTAAACCTTCAATGTACATCTTGCTACCATTTGATATTAAGTGCTGTATTAAGTTTCTCTACTTCATGGTACTGTGTATGTAGCATCTTGTTAACCTGAAGTAAAAACACAACATCAGTTTTAAAATACTGAAAAAGTACCTAATTTTCACTCAGTCTTGTGATATATACCTTTGCTGAGTTTTCACCATCAAGCCATTCACTAAAAAATAAACACATAGCATAGCACATTTAAAGCAAACTCTTTCAGTGCATGGGACAGTGACTTGTATGAAGGATAGGTCAAGTTATCCACCTTATGGATTTAGATTTGAATGGATTTTATCCATCCTCAGATGGGGATTTCTTTAATAAGGATTACATGCATGCCATCTCCTGTAGCTTTGTGTTACCTGTATAATTCTTTGACAGATGGGTTATCCATGGGATCTCTTGTACTGAAAGAGAYAGGATATGAGAAACATACTAAATTTTGTGGGTTTTATGCGTCAATCAATCAAAACCCTTCCCCTCTGCTCCTGGGCAGGGCTGAGTAATTTACAAATTACAGCAAGGAATTCAACAATGTTTTAACAGTATTAGACCATAGTGAGGTTGGGGGATTAATTCCACAATCAAGTACCTGATGGAATTATACAACACATCTACTTTCTCAATTAATTCTTTTGATGATTCATTCTCTTTAGGTCTTATTTGTGCTCCTCCATTTATGCATCCTGCAGTTCAAATCATAAACATTAACAAAAGTAATAAAKTGATACCAATATGAATATATATAAATGCAACCGGGAGCAATCCACCATCCATTTGAGTATGAGTCCAGTCCATGCCACATTCTAAAATTTCTCATTTCCAATATTTACCTGAAGGGCAAGCCATAATTTCCACAAAGTGATAAGTACATTTATTTCTCTTTAACTTCTGTACAAGATTCTGAAAGAAAACAGTCATACCTTTTTCTTAACTGACTTTGGGATTCCTGTGTAGCAATCGTCTGTGTGGGTGGGGTAATATAGCATTGGTTGAAGTATTTACTTACTTGTATATTGCGAAARCCATAAGCTAGTGCAAATTTAAGTACATCAGTTCCATCAACCTATCAACAAGAAGTAAATTTATAAACAATTCAATTTCATTACCAGTAATAAATACTTGCTTTGTTATATACCTGTAATGTGACTTCTTTAAAATCTTTATTTCTAAGAGTTTTGTATGTTAATTCAACATTTCTTTSGTCAAATAACTCTTGTGCTGCATATCTGAAAATGTGTTCTAAAAATCCACCCTATTTTGAAAACAAAACAGATTGAATAAAATGTTCGATTTGCAAATGTAAAACAAGTTGACAAGCTTGTGACTTACTGAACCACCTCCTGAATGRCCAACTAACTCATTATCCTTTATACTGGAAAATCTGTTTTGATAAACAAAAATTAGTTTAACTCAAARGTATGTGGTCTCCATTTCAGGCTATTGTGATTGAGCTTTCTGTGAAAAAGAACACAAGAGGCCCATAAACATAATACTTACAAAGTATCAATATCAGTCTCTTCTAGCTTTGCAAAACCAGGCTGATGTTCCTCTATCATAGTCTCAACTTCAACTGAAACAAAAATAAGAAGTGAATAAAACTGAATAATAGATGAATATGGATGGATATTATATTATCACTGATTAGTGGCCGTTACCTGTAGAAATCACACAGTCTACATCTCTTGTACTGTACATRTCATTGTAGAAATCATCACGTGATGCTTCTAGCTTCTTATCAAAACATGGCTCAATACAAACATGATAGATGGCATCAGGGCTAGAATAAGACAATATTGTATACATCACCAATCTTATAATAACGAATATGATACCTTCACAGTTACCTTTTTGAYAACTGACTTGCAAGTCTGTCCTTAACTAAGGATCCCATTACTTGTTGAGGTGATTTGGTAGTACTAAAATTGGACACAATAGAGATTTACAATTTATTTATTTTGAGCAAATGAGAACATAATTTAATAATTAATTTGCATTCCATGAGGGACTGTCTTGAAAACAAAAAGGTTAAACAAAGATGCCATCACCTGATATAAGGAAGAATATAGCTACCATGCGTTTTCTCTGCATAACAAACAAACCCTAACAAACACATAAAAAACATTTAAGATGTCTCTTTTTCCTTTTGTGTTTGGCTTCCTGTGTTAGATAGTAATGTGCTTGTTTTTGATCGTATGTTTTATGATTTTTTCATCTCAGTCAAAACAGCACTATCTTGTGAATCATTGAAGATAATTCATCATCATCATTATCAATAGGGAGTCAGCACACTCAACAGCTCACCACAAATTAAAATAGAGCATGGCAATTGAAACAATATTGGTTATCATAAAATTGTGATACCACACAGGACTCCATCTTACCATCTATAATACTGGATACCGCATCGATCAATGGATGGTAATATAATCCCTTACCTGGGCATGCCGAAGCCAGCATTGGTATCATTCCTTTTTCACCAAGTTGATGTGCCTTGTATCTTGTTACAAACTCTTTTTGACTTCAGAAAAACAGTAAGAGTTACAGTAGCAGTAAACATGAACTTGGAATTGCACCTTTTATTCACTGTACCTTTCAAGAAGACTAAAATCTCTAGAAAATGTTGTATCAAACACATAATGGRCTCCTGTAAACAAATACAATTATATCAACTAATCTAGTTCAAGAATATCTAAGCATTAATCTCTAGATCTTACCTAATTGTTTGAAGAAGTTTGTTAATTTTCTTGCGGTCTATTGTGAATGGAACAAAAGTTGAACTTACCTATTATTATTGGACTTACAGTACGTATTTTTGTTGAATAATAGACAAATCATTTCCCACATACCTGTTCAATAGTAAGGTTATATTTAGCAGCAATTGATGCTCTTGATTGTGGAGATACTGATATGATTACAGTCTTAATGTCCTTATCCAAACCTTCACTTAATAACTTTTTATTATTTTGTATTATTTTAAAAAGTTCATCTTGGCTTTGCTGTGTGATCAAAACACTTTCAGCTGTTGTTATACATCCACTAAAAGTATCAAAAAACATAGAATTAGTGACAAATGGGTAATTGACTTGGGTAAATAAGACAGGAACCCCATTTTGCATATTACCTRCAAGCCAAACAATCATTTAGTGTTATTTGTGCTTTTTCTAGCTTTGCTTTTCCTCCATCCTAAATGTAGAATAATACATGTATACTAAATATGGATGCATAACTAGTAGGTATTACAGTTTTGTTGTTTAGTTGAGAAATTCAGATTAAGCATTTTATAGTTCAGAAGCTGCAAAGCCGTGTAGCAGGTTTTCCATACCTCTGATAACTGCACATAACTGCCATCACTTTCAATCTTGATTTTTGCCAATCCCTAGATAAGAAGAAATAACAATTATTTTTACACATCATCAAGCTTATTTTAGCTAGTAAAGAATCTAGGGTCACTTTGTACAAATACAAACCTTTGATCCCTCCTTTTTCTCTATCTTAACAGGTTTTATRCATTCCTGAAATCAAAATATATAAAGGTAAATGTGGTTACATAATCTGATGATCAAAATGCTCAGAAAATATGATTCATGTGCTTTTTTACGCCAAAGAATCAATATTTGGACCCAAATTTTTTCACATATCAATCTAATCAAACCTAATTCACATAATCTTTGGATTTCAGCATTATTCTGACCTGCGATGGAGTAATAAAATCGTCTAAACTTGTGAGCTGTAAAGCACCACTAAATTTGTTCGCCATCTTTATTTACACAGGGATCCCGCACTTGTCCTCTGAGAAAACACAGGAAGCCCGTTCATATTTTTTTCCGATTATAAATGTAAATAAACCTGAAATTAATTAGAACCAATTAACAAAGCGGCCACCCTCCAACAAAATACTAACGAATTTATAATAAGATTAACGAACTTAGCAAATTAGCGGGGAACTCTGAAATTATAGAAAGGGATGGCGTCAGTAGGAAAATTTGTATTTTTCTTTTGAGTAGTTAATTTTTTATATTTCTTTTTTTGTGAACAAAATTAGATTTTGAATATGGATCGCAATGAAATATTTAAATGGTATTGCAAGACATGATTAGGGACTGTTTTGTGAAGTTTTATGTCAACTTACTTTTCATGCCATCCTCTAAAACTACTTGAAGAGACTTCCGCCGAAAGACAGAAAAGACGCCCTCACAATAAAACAAGTTAATCCATATAATCTTATTTCCAGAAGATAAGACTTTGTTAAAGTCCTAATCGCTACAAAAAGCGACAGAATCCAACTAATGGTGGAACGCAAAGGAAGCCGATGATTTTTCATTACTCTYGAACCTACTTATGTGTACAATTGATGCTATGAAATTATTTTAATTTAACGAATATATGCCTTATGGCTTAACAAAACATGGCTTAAAAACTTTTATTTTTCCATACATGGACGATTTCTCTTTTTTGCGCATATCTGCGTGATAAGTTAAACCTTCAGTCCTTTTTTTTTGTTAGTAATTTGGTGCTTTTTTATATGTCCACCATTAGTGTGTTAAAAGGAAGGAAGAAAGGTAAGTACACTATATGAAGACACGAGAAACACAAATTAACTTGATTTATTAGTTCTTAGTAAAGGTTGTTCGCTCAGCTGGCAACGAATCKGACAGGAATAATTATATCCTCACCACAGAAAGTTGATTGACACTTTAAAAATCAGTACATAATCCCTTTTTATATAAAGTGAAATTCAACATGAAAACAGACTTTCCATGTAATGAAAGGTGCAAAGGTGTTAGGGAACGCAAATAATAATATGAAGCGGAAAGCGCAATTCAATGCATCTTTTGTCTCAATTCAATAGCAGTTTCGAGAAGGTTCTCAATAGTTTTCTGTCTGCGTGCAAAGAAAGCTCTCGTTCAGTCATTGTTTCCTTTAAACACTGATGAGTTTAATAGCCCGAGGAGATTTCCACTCGTTGTATAGTTAAATGTTCTCCATATTTGGAAGATGTTTATTCAAGGACTTTTCCCCTTGAAAAGCGCTGTCTTCGATACGACTACGCGTCAAGAGATGTCATTCAATGTCGTGGAGAGACCAACAATGACATGCATATGGAGGGCTGCTAGCCATGGGGGTGCATGAATATCCACGTAGAATCAAAACACAACAAACATGAATGCTAAAGAGTGCTGAAAACTCAGGCAGTTTTCTAGCTAGATATGACRTTGTTGGGTGACTGGATGTATACACCATGTTCACGAATCAAACGGAAGCCAGAAATAAAAGCTGTTTCTTTTATTCTTCGAGGGTAAGTTACACACTCACCTTTCCTGATATACCGATTTATAATTAGCGCAATCTATGTTCCTGTCGTTATATTACCTATTATAGTACTAAAATAGCACATTTTATTCGCATTTCAATCGTTCTTATGCAGAATTTCTCGTCACTGGTAGCATTGAAAAAAGGACTGATCAGTTAAAAAACTGACGAGTCTCTTTTTCATGACAGTTTAGTTATTGAATTGATACTCTCCAAGCATTACGGGTCTAACAGTGAATCGCAAAGAAAAACTCATTTAAAATGTTTTGCTTGGTTGGTTTGTTGTATAYATGTAATTTCTCGCGTAGGTGAAGTTACGCGACATTATTATTTCGTTTGTACATARTAAATGAGGGTACTATGAGTTGTATCGAGAAATAGACCCGAATGTAAGCTACCAATGAGTCAAAATCCAAAGAAAACGCGCGTCATTGTGAAAAGAAGAAGAAATTGAGCGAAATGGATGAAAAGTCACATTGCTTTGAAGTTTAATTTGTACACGAACGTCAGGWCGGTAATCACAAACTATAACTTTAGGATTTACGTTAATTTAAAACAACGACGATAAGAAGATATTATTTACTCTTTTTTCAACAAGCATATAATTTGGTTCGCAGTAATCTTCGTGTCTTGTTTGTTTGAACAGGTTGTATTTTTTGTGTCATGAACATACTCGCTTTCGCAAATAATCGCACTTCATTTTTAAGAGATAAAAAATATGGACCTCAGAATCATTTCTTCTGAGGAATATATGCTCCTATACATCCTAAAAAACGGAATATATATAGATCAAGAACAAAGAGAATGATAAAAGCAATATTTCCAGGGTCATTCATTATTTTTCAAAAGCCGACTTGATAAGGGTTCTAAATGCGCGTAACTTTCAGTTTCGCCACAAGTTTTTGTCACAAATGTCCAACGATAATGTCCATTGTTTGCATGGGAAAAGCAAATATAGACACTAAACAAGAAAAAAAGAGAATTTCAGGAGAAATTTGGCGTTYATTTTGACAGCTGGCTTGTTGCCTATAGATYTGTAATGATTTTCAGTACAAATATTAGGATACCGTGGAAACAGCAGTGACTAGAAACCACTTCCCGTTTTTTTCTAGTTTTATTCTATTTCATCTATATTTTCAGAAACGATGAAGAAATTATTTTAAATTGTACAGCAAAATTGGGACTGAGTGAACCAATAAAAACGTCATTTTGCGCGGTAAAATTTTCATGTGCAGCAAAATTAAATGAATGTAATATGTATGTATCTGATTAAGAAAGAGTGTGTGTAGTTTCATCTGGCTCATCTACAAAATATTTCCATCGACCGATCATTTAAAAARGTGATGCTATACGCAAGCTATTGGTATATTGTCGTTTGTGTGTAGTTCGTGAAGAGTTGATACTTTTACTAATGTGTAGTTACCATAGAAACGTGTAGAGCTCTTCTCTGTGTTTATGAATTGTAGTGATGTTTTTGTTGTTAAATGCGGTTTTTGTAGTTATAGTAAGATCAATGCTACATACAATGATTTATTAATTGAATTAAACCACAAACTTACCGACATCACGATATCCATGCACGTAGCTGATCGTATTCGCAATCGTAATTGTAATCGCAAGCCTTTGAATTTGTAAGATGGCATGTACGTTTTTTTTTGGGGGGGGGGGGGGGGGAGAGAGCTTTCATATATTAGGACATAATTAATGATGCAATCTACAAGCGAGATACAATCTCCCCTCAGCCCCTATGCATTACTGTGACTTATGACAACCGCCTTACAAAACAGAGAGTTTGACATCCAATCATCCCCTGAGTCTCTCAAAATAACTCCCCCCCGCAAATCTTCCAGTATCTCCCCCTATATGTACTAATAGATAAAAACCCCTCCATGCAGTACTTCACATTATAAATAATTGGTTCGTACCTCCCACCCCAACTCCATTAAAGTTCTCATTTCAAAAGTCGTACGCGTCTCTTCCCTGACAAACATTTCAGTTATTAAGAAGGATTAGCGAAGAAAAGGAAAAAAAGGTGAAAACTAGAGCTGAAAAAGAGATAATGGGACGAAGAGTGGTAAAGCATGCCACAGGAATCCCAAAATATGCAGTACAGCAAAATTTTATCAACGTGTATTTATAAAAGGTTTTTTGGATGATAGAACTGTCTCWTAAAGTTAAAGGAATGAGGGTTCAATAAGAATTGATTTAGTTACCTTTTTATTTGAAATTGTCCTAAAATGTCCAAAACTTTGAATTCAAAATAAGAGAAACCAACATTGCGCTGCATCATGGGAAAACAACCAGGTTACGTGTGTTGTGAGCAAAATCCTACGTCCAAATAACTGCTTAAAATTAATTGAGAACAATCAAAAGACTTGTAGAAAGACTCATTGGAGATAAGATAGTCTTCAGCTATTATTAAAGAACCCAAACTCGACATGGGGCAGTAGTTTGGGAAGTTACAAGGGCTTGAAAGTCACCGGCGTTGGTTTTGTTCTGTGTTGTCATGGTGGACTCCATGTCCGTCGCCGCATGGACATCATCGCTAGCATTGGTTTGGCATGTCAAATAGAGCGCTACCTCTAGAAATGTAAGCCATTCTCTCTTGCAGTTACATCAATCTATTAGTCTGAGCAGCAATAGCTTTGCTAACGCCAGTGATAGCGAAGTAATAGCTCATACAGCACAACCACAATTGTTCTTGCTCGTGGGTGAAACTTCACCCTCATTTGACGTTCTTTCTGCAAAGCAATCCGGCCAATATATTCTCAAACTCCTAAATATACTGAAAGCAGTCGTCTTATCTTTGCAGAAAAAAACATAATCTGTAAAAACGTTAAGCAATCAGATTTCTTTTTCTCACTTGTTGTTGTCACTATTTTGCTATTAAGAATATGCCATTCTTTGTTTGTTTTAGTTTAACTGAATCCCAGCTGTACCGTGCTTTTCATCGAAAATGAAATTGATTTAAGAGATAAACAGTCTAAAATAGATTATATTGCTGTGTACTTAAGCTATAACACTTTGAAAAAAAACTTTAACATTTCTTTGGGCATTTATTGTAATTTATAAACTTTAGGTGTTTTGACATGTAGTGTTGTCAAGCAAATGAATTTCTTCCGGCCACAGCTTGAAAACTATACCATTTCCATCATCAACCAATCTCGTAACCAGAGCCCACACCATGTTGCCTATATGTTGTATGTTTGTATGACCACATAATTATTGTGCCATCAGATTGTACTAGTTTCACAGGGTTTTTTTCTGTACATGTGTTGAATCTATTGAATCAATGTCTGGATTTTCTTCCAAACTATTCARATGGATGCAAGGTGTAGGTAACTTGGTCTTATTATATATCAAATATAGCTTTTCTTACTAAGGAAAACAGCAGATCACTGCCCCTCAAATCAAATGCGATGGTTTTTTGAATTGTACCTGTAGATCAACCACTAAAAGATCACTATTTTTATGGAATTTTGGTTGCAATAGTCAAAGTAAACCAGCTTTTTATTAATTTCCTTATAGGAAATTAATGTTCTCACAGAGATTCTGATGTTAGTACAATTTATCCTATRTTTTGTCTGGTCAGAAAAGAGAAAGTCTTATATATCCATAGTCTACATTGCACCTTATTCACATGTATTTCACACATTGTTATTTTATTAAAATAGTTTTTTACTAGGCAATGGAAATGATGTCTGTGGTCTTACTCCTATGTGCGCCATTCATGAATTTGTGGGATTCCTTCTCAATTATAGGATTAAGTTAGAATTGCTTTTAAAACAAGTATTTGAATAGAAGTGAATTGTTAATCTTGGTAATTAGATATGGTTAGGGTTATTATCAATGTAGTATTCAAAAACACCAACACTTTGTTGTCTTTTGTTTTACTTAAAATATTCCATGTATGGTGAACTTCTTGTATTTTGTTATGAAGACAGTTATTTAAAGTAAAATCAAATTAACTTTAATATGCTTGGATGGATAATCTGTAAGAATTGCCACTGCTAAAACAATCTTCAATCAATTCCTGGGAGTATTAATGTTTAATCAAGATATAAAAAATTCATTCTATTTGTCCTAGATTGTTCACATGATCATTGAGATACATAGCTCTATTGAAAAGGATCATGTCTTTGTAAATACTATACAATCATCTTTGACCAATCTTTTCAAAATTCATGTAAATCTTAAATTTACTGTTCTTCTAGTAATTTCTATATCATAAACAAGAACATTATAATATTTCCTTTATCAAAACATTATGACTGTGTATTTTCTTGTTCTCAAGGCTGGAACAGATTGGGAGGGCTAGAGACTTCCCCTAAGCCCTTCACGCTATATTTTTTTTTTCAAAAAACTGCTTCATGATAAATTTAATTGTTTCTTGACTTGTCACAGGTTTGAAGGAGAGTAGAACATTTCGCTTCCATAACAATATTTTTCTGTTCTTTTCAGCCGAGGCTTTTCTTCTCGGGGTGGATTTGAGTCRTTATACCCTTTACCAGAGAAGCCAGAGGAATCTATCCCATTGTCATATCTKGAAACAGTACGAGAAGCTATCAACAGCTACCGGACATCAGATGGAAGTGGACGCTCATCACCAACTACAGAGAATACTTATAGTTTAAATAACAGCCTTTGGGCTTCGAATACCTGGTCAACAAATACTGGTAACYTGACTGGCCGCAGTAGTGTCTACTCGTGGGGAAATGACGATGTGAGTTATTGATTAACTTTAGTTAACAATTCTTATGAATATGTGATATAATTGTTAACAGGCTGATTTACAGGATGCAAATTGTCGTATGCGAYTTGATGTTTAAGACAGAAATGCACTGCGTAAATGGCTTGATGACTAAATACATGCAGAGCACRATTTGTCAGAAGCTTTTGAGTCAAGACACAAAACCCTGCAACAAGCTGTAGTGACAATGTGTACAATTCAAGTCTCATACAACAAGCTGCTAACATAAATCTGCCTTTAACACTTATTTTTTGAATAACATTTCTTATACAGGAGTTTGACAGACAGGCCTCAGCGACCGTGCAACGTATGTTTGATGAAATCAATCAAATGTTGTTTGAAGGAAAACCTTTCGATGGTATGAGAATAAATGTGTTGGTTTTTAGATTCTAGAGTTAGATCCCTGTCAGTTTTGAGTGCACACCAAATATCTGTGACACTTTTACACTGCTTGATATGTGTAGATTTGTAATTCAAAGGCTACAAGGATAATGTTTATTTAATTTGAGGTCACATTTAGTCTTGGCCACCTCCATGGAATTGCTGCATCCACTTGCTAATTATTTTGCCATCTGTTTATGAGTTCATTTRCCATTCCACAGGAAGCCCACAGCTGCTGTCTGAATGTCAAGAATGGTGTACGAAGTTTCCACATTTAAGGTAGCTTGATCCACTTGACATTTTGAAATAAATATTACACAGTRATTAATAAATGGAATAGAGACATGATGGCATGATCTTCAATTACAATATTTTAGAAATGAATTAAGTTAATATTGATCAATAATGTATTGTAGAATTTGTGGCGAACAAAATGTTGTCCCTCAAGATCAAGGCACAAAGTACATTCCCCTGYCATCTGATGATCCAAGGGTATATAATTATAGACCACAAACCTCTGTTCTGGAGGATATGGAAGAAGTCAATACTTTGGATTCYCAGGGGTATGTCCAGCATTCAAAACATTGTTGTAGTTTAAAGGAGAATTCGATTAGAGTTGCTAATTTCTCATTGTGTAATTCTTTAGGTTAATGATTCAAGGGACACACCTTAATCCGTCAATAATAGATTACAGTTCTAGAAAATTATCTGGTAAGATATTGTGATAATGTTTACTACTTTTTACTATGAAATAWTAGACTATTTTGTAAAGATAAAATGCATTATTCCTGCCTCAGACATATCATGATAATATCAAATGTATCTCTTCAGTAAGTTCAGAATAATTGGTAATTTGTTTATTCTGATTAAGGTTCTGATGAAGAGGATTCTATAGCAGATCTTGAGGAAGAAATACTAGAACAAGATGGAGAATATGAAGAATATCTTGCATTTGATTTCCCAGTCATGTAAGCAACTATGATTGTGAGTCTTAAGATATATATTCATTTTCCCATTCCACCAACACCATATTTTCTTACTTCTCTAGAGATGAAGAAATAACTTTGCTTCGAAGTAGACTTAACAGATGTAAAAGGAATTATAGATTAGGATTTCCTCCTGTTACACCCAATGCTTGTGCTAAAGATACCTTGTATAGTCAAATGTTTGACATGCTTTGGGCAGAGGTAYGTACATGTCGTCTAGGACTTTAAAATATTGACGATGGAGAGAATTTCACAGCTAGAAAATACATGATTGTACTAYATGTATTAATTTGGACAAGTTCATGGTACTATGTACCAAGGTCCTTACAATYCTACTCAAGCTTTCAAGATGATATGTTCTTCTTTTACACTGATATTAAACAACAAAAAAACTAAATCTAGATGTGAACGCCTACTTCAGAAATTAATCTACCATTGAAATGTGTACGGCATAGGAAAATGTCCATTATTTTATTAACTTTGAAATGTGATGTTTTCAGGTTGTTTTATGGATAAGAACACTATTGGTACATCAATCACAAAAGCTACTTAGAGGTRGGCTCATATCAGTTTCATCTTGATTCTCATCTTGTTGTATGATTGTCTAATGTTATTTCTGACCAGCAGATAAATCACTATATTTGCCTGATGCAGTCAGACAACCTGGTCGTGCAGTAGATAGTCCTTTACGACCAATATCTAGAGATGTTAGTTCAAGAATTAGTCATTTTCCCTCTCAGGTGAGTTTGCTATCAAACAAGTAATATATTTCACCATTGTATAGAGCAGATTTCAGTGGAAAAAATACTGCACTTTGACGGTGATGATTTATTTGGATCACTACCAGGCGAGGTTCCGTGRCYRTSCTGWGMCGTGTCCATGTTGTGATCCGTGYCTTTGCACAGTCAYAYRAAATCSGCTCTATCGTGTTCAGYTATCATCATTGAATAATTCAATTCTGGCAATAYGTACCAAATGACAAAGTTTTCTTTTCAGTTTCGTTTACGAACTGCATCAACGTTAAACCCRCCGCTGGACGTCAAGGGTCTCAAAGACGTTATGATGATCAAATCATTAGCATTACAACACAGAGCACCATCAGCTGCAGCAATACAGTGAGTGGATTACCCACCCCTCCCCTCTGAATATTACACATTTAGTTAGTATTAACCTTGCTACTGAATACACTTGGTCACCATYGGATTATGTCTTCATGCAGCAGATTTTATTTTCCTACTGCCTATTGTTAACGTGTTCTCTCTAGAGGTTTATTAACTCTTTTCACTTCATCATTATGTATGAGCTCATACCACACTCAGTGAAGAAGAGCTCATAGCTCCTTCTGGGAAGGGCTGAGTTAGATAACTCARTCTTTGAGCTAAATGTGTTTTCCTCCCTAGATAATAAGGAATATTTGAATTTACTTCTGATCCATGTGTTTATGTTATAACAGCCCTGCAGAGAGCCGTGAAGGAACTCCTTATATACAGGTTAGCATAACAACCATTATTGACTTTGCAAAGAATACACCATGAAATTGAATGATATTTTTTTTCTAATCAGCAGGTCTGAATAGACTTTTTCTCATATAGCAATTCAATATACAAAAGCTTTCCACAGATAGAAGGCTACAWTTATTTGCTGTATACTGCAATAAATAAATTATGATTTTAGAGCATTAAATTTAGTATATAGATGCTGATGTTATTCTCATAATTTTTATCAGGGTCGYCCTGGCTCCAGTAGTACCGTTGCTTCTCGAATATCCCGATTTGGACGAGCATCAGATCACYTGATGCATCGTTTGGCATCTGCAAAAACAAGAAGGTACACAAAGTACAACATTTCTAAACTTCACCTGGCAACGTTTTGAGTGGAGAGTTGATGAGAACCCTATTGCTATACTATTGATTGAATTTTTGGAATTGCTTTTCTCTCTGCAGAAATCCTGCAAGTCAAAGGCTGGCACCTTTGGAACGAGAAAGACCTAAGACACCCAGTAATCAGGTAARGACAGCACCATCATCTCTGTTTGGGATGCCTGTCATTTCGCTCCAAAGGAAGAAAACAGAATTAAATAATGTGAATTAATTTATTGATTAAAGGAGGACGTAAAATGCGAAATCGTACGTGGAACTAAATTGTAAGTAGAAGCCTCTCGTCAGAGTCTGAAATCTCAAATTGATGAATTAGTTAATAACCGAAGATAATTATTTGTTCCTAGATTAACAGGTGGAGAAAGACTAACTTCACCACCTCATCCTTTAACCACGTCCTCGCCCCAGCCATGGGGAGCAAGAAATGGCACCTTACCTCCCTTAGAGCGTGCAGCCACGTATGCAGAGACAACGGCTGCTGCTTCTACTAATTTATCTTCGAATACTGGTAGTATGCARCCAATGCATCAGGCCAGAAGTAGTGCTGTAAGTAAGAATCAATGTTAAGCCTTGGACATAGTCAAGTATTGTTTGAGTACTCAACATTTTGTTGTTTAGCCATCTTATTCGATAGTGTTGTATGTTGTATTGGGTGGCATGGGTGGCCTAGTGGTTAAGCTACTGGCCTCTCACCGCTGTGGTCCGGGTTCGATTCCCGGGCACGGACCATATGTGAGTTTGAGTTTGTTTGATGTGTTGTTCTCTCCCTTGCCATGAGGGTTTTTCTCCGGGTACTCCGGTTTTCCTCCCTCAGCAAAAATCAACATGTGAGGAGTGTTGTGTGCTAAAATACTTAATGTAGAGGTAGTGAGTGTGAGAGGAGGGCCACGAGTTTATCAGTCTTTGACTGTAATGTGCTACCCTCGTAGAATAAGGTTATTTATTTATTTATGATTTGTATTGGAAATTGATTGGTTAAAACTGTCCTACAGTAGCTTTTGTGTTGAGTAATTCAACTTTAATTAAAAATATAGATGTGGTGCAATGTAAGTGCAATGTGCCTTATCTTGAGTATTAAATGTGAATCAACAGAAAGTCAAAGTCTCCTTTAATGTCCGAGCATCAAGTGCAGCTACAGATGATTCAAGGTGAGAACTGGCAATGTTTTTTACATTTACAACGTTGATCTGTAATTTATTTATCACTTTTTGCTTCTCAGGCGCAGCATGAGAGAAAGGGCACCAGTATTTGCAGAATCTCGACCAAACACTACGCATTCTTTTAGGGTAAGAAAACATTTTAACCATGGCTCCTTATAAGTATAGTATATTGATTAATTAACTGTCACCACCATCATCTAAACTGAAATCTGATCATTATCATCAACTATGTACAACAGAGGTATATTAAAACACAGGCATGTCGG